TTATAAGGCCAGGAGGCTCAGGGCATTTCCTGACACATGGTGAGCCTACTGGTGGTGAGCTCTGACCTCTGACACCCTGGCCCTGAGGGAGTCAGGGGTTCTAGCCCCTCTTCCTGCTGCTACTCCCCATCTCTCCTGCACATGGCAGCCCAGCACCTGGTGTGTCCGAGCCTGCAGCAAGCTTGGGGGTTACACCAGTGAAAAAGACAGAGCCCGGCTGTGCTGTGCTGGGGGGGGGAGTCAGATCAGATGTCATGGGTGAGTACAGCAAGGGGACAAAAGCTAGGCTGGGCAACAAGGGGGGTTCTCTCAGGTTTGGGGACAAAGCAGGGGTGAGGGTAGGGAGCAGTTCAGGAGAGATCTAAGGTAAGGCAGAGGGGCTGTGGCATGCTGAGGAAGTAGATGCCAGGTAGACTCACGTGCAAAGGTTCTGAGGTTGAGACACACAGTGGTCTTAACTAAGGACTTCTTAATTGACAGATAAGTTAGCCTCCCGGGGGTTGGGGAGTTGGGGACAGCTCCTTCTGTTAGGTGGAGGTAAATGGGGGTCAGGAAACCCACAAGATGGTCAGTGTGTGTCCGTCCCACTGCCCTGAGAATAGCCTTCCAGTCTTGTTAACGGAGGCATCCGTTACACAGGGTTGAGGTGAAAAGACTGGAGGAGAATGAGCCAGAGAGGGAGGTGAGCCTGCCTGTGTCACATAGCTCTGTGTTGACCCCAGAAGCTCTTATTTCCAGTGCCTGCACACTTCCGTCTCCCTTGGGGCAGACACGTCACCCTTGAAACCCAGGTAACTTACCAGGTAGTTCAGCGGTGATGGTACAATGTCCCACGCTATAGAGGAGGAACAGAGACCTGGGGCAGTTTGCCCTAGAAGACCTGGATGATGAAGGCAGCAGCAAGCCCTAGTGTCTGATCCTGAGGTCCGAGCCTTGGCCCCAGAAAGTAGCCAGGTTTGTTCCTGAAGGCAGAAGCATGGGTAGTGGCCTGGTGGCCCAGTGCTAGCTTCTAGAAAGGAATGGTGATGAGCGCTGGGAGCTCTGGCTGGCCTGAGGCATCCCCGTCTTCCTCATCCAGAGTACCAGCGTGGTCTTGAGTGGTTATTACGATGGCATTGGGGGAGGCTGGGCCAGCCTGGCCCTGAGAGGAATCTGCCAGGCCTGAACTGCTACAAGGGATGCATCCCCACTGATTTTCTCATCTCTCATGGGTGGCCAGGACACGAGCCACACGTTCCCATGTCCTGTCCTTGTCCGTTGAGCCGAGCAGTGTCCTCATGGGGGTGGAAGCCTGGGTTGGCACAGGTGAGATGACTCTTCACTGACACGACAGGTATGCCCCGCTGTGTCTGGAGGGTCCTGGAAACCCGGGCACTCGTCATTTTGCCACATAAGAAACTGAGCCAAGAGAAGGCTGAGGTTCCCCAAGAGTCTCAGGGTGGGCCATTCCCATCCAGACCACCACAGGCAGATGCCATCAGCTGTACTGCTAGGCCTGGGTTGCTCCAACCATGCCTGTGGAGTGCTTCCATTCAGCTTCTTGTGTGAGAGAACCAGGGTTCAGGCCAATGCCTGCACTACAGGGAGTGAGGACTTGCCAAGAAGAGGATCCCACTGGGGCCTTGGGCTTGACATCCTGGGTCCTGCATCCATGTAGGACTCGGACCGTGTTTCCTCTTTCGTCCTGGCCCAGTTTCCCTCACGGGAAGCCTGGAACCCAGCTGAGCCCGGGATCATCATTTCAGTTTGGAGATACCAGGATTCTGAATCCTTGAAGGTCAGGGCATAACCCCAGCTGGGCCAACCTGGCCACTGAAGCAAAGCCTGAGACAGAAGAGCACTGCCCAGGTGACTCAGACGGTCACCAGCTCTGACCTTGCCCCTCTACTCCCCAGTAGCCGTTGCCCACTGGTGTTGCTGGCTGTTCTCCTTCCTTTCCATCCAAGGATTCATGGGAAGGGACATCATTCAGCCTGAAGTCGGCTGGACGGCTCTTTGCCAATGCTGCACGGATTGGTGTGGTCTTGCTTGCGTTGCTGCATGGCTCCCAAGGGACTCGGCGCTGTCATGATCTTAGGCTCTGGGCAGCTGCCCTTCCCTCTGACTTGCTCTAAGATGTGTTTCGGGGCTTAGCTGAGTCCAGTCTCAAGTGTCCCCTTGAGCCTTGGGGGTAGGCGGCGGGTACCTGTGCCACACTGTCATGCCCAGACTCATCCCCCTCGCCCTGTGGCCAGTCCTCTGTGGAGGGCTCTCCATTTGTCTCCCTGCTCACCATCGCTGTGGTTTTCTCTCTCCTTCCTCCCAGGTGTGTCTGTGTGTTTGAGGAGCACCCTCATGGGGAGCAGGGGAGGATGGTCCTGCCTGTCTGACCCCTAGACCCCACCCCCACCCCTTGCACACCTGCACCTTGATTGGGTGAGCGACTGGGCGGAGGGCCAGGTGCTGTTGTCAGCATCTTTGTGGCCTTGTCCTATCCCTGCCAGTACGAGGCCTCAACGGGTGGTGGGCAGACAGCCCAGCATGAGGACAGGGCAACTAACACACACGGGACACAGTGATGGGAACCTCCTCCCCACTGTGCGTCACAGGGAGAGTAGGAGCCAGGCCTCAGCCCAAGCCATCCCTGGAGCAGGGAATCAGGAGAGGGCCACTGCAGGGTTACCTTGTGGGTTTTGGGGAACCATGAGCCTTATGCCTACCCTGGCCTGTCTTGGAAGGGCAGGGCCGAGTGAGGCCAGCACCTCTCTGAACCAGGGCCCCCTTAAACCTATTCCTTCGGCCTCTTCCTACCGCTACTTACTTGCTTGGTATCTTGCACAGCTCTAGCCAGCCTGGTCTTGGCTAAGGTGATATTGGTTTAGCTCAGATCTAAGCAGGGGGAGGGACTCTTTGTATGGCTGGTTTTGTATGAGCAATACACATGTGCTTAAATGGCATTGAGGGGGTGGGTAATTGCTTGCCTTACCAAGGCCCCAGACATGCATGCCTGTCACTCCTCCACACACCAGCATGGGTCCCTTTGGATGATCATAGCTGCACATGTCCTGTGTGTGTGTGTGCACAAAGGACACACACACACACACTCATGCTTATGTGCCTGCCTGCATGCTGTCTCGGTGCATATATCAGCACCCTTGTGTCTGCGTACTGAGTCAGCCATACACCTGTGTGTGCACCTGCACGCCAATGTGGTTCCCAGACCGAGGAGGACCTGCATTACAGACTGAGGGCTCTCAGACAGACTGGTTCCTGCTTCTCAAGACGGCAAGTGGAAGGACTTTACCCCCTCTGGGACAATCTCTGCTGGTGGGAGGGGAAACTGAGGCCCTGTGTCACAGGAGCCAAACTCTGCAGCTACGACAGTTTTGTGTGGTACGGGTGAGGACAGATGAGCTGTCGGCCGCCTGGGCAGCCTTGTGACACCCACGTTGGCCCTGCAGTGGGGAGGGAGAAAGGTGGGTCAGACTGGCCTCTGACCCAGGTTGGAACCTCAGCGCGCACTGCTGGAGCGTCCTCTCAATGTGTCCCCACCGCCTCCCTCCCTCTTTCCCTCTGCTGGTCACAGTTTTAAATTGGCTTCACTTTAACACAAAGTCTAGACATTTTTTTTTTTTCCAAAGCTCTCTTTCCTGGAGTCTCCCTGGGGGAGGAGCCGAGGTGGAGGTGGCTCTGTGGACACTATTTCAAGGCTTTCTTTGACAAATGTGCATTTCTCAGACCACCTTGTGTCCTTGTTAGAACACAACTGTCTAGGGCCTTTGCAGTTTCTGGAGTCTGGAGCACAGGGTGTGAGCCCGAGCCAGGTCTGGCCGAGTCCAGCTTGCAGGGGACCTAGCCAGCTCTCCCCAGGGCAGACTTTGGGACTTGGTTTCCTCGTGGGAAAGGGAAGGATGAATCAGATGGGCTGTGGGCTCTGATCCCTGCTGCTGTCCTGTCCTCTGTGGCTCAGGGTGAGCCGTCAAGTCACCTTGCTGCTTACCATCAAATTACCCAGGAAAGGGCTGGGTTCCCCCACACTGTACAGAAAAGCAGTGGCTAAGAGACAGAGTGATTTACCCACAGTCAGGCTGTGCGGGGAGGGCCTCTTGACTCCTGACCCTGAGTGTTTCAGGAGCCTTGATCCTGGCCCAGGCTTTGCTGTGTTACTTGGGACAAAGCCCTGTCCTTCTCTGAGCCTCTGATTCTGGAAGGGGATGTAGGGATCCAATCGTGTTGGTCCCAAGTCCTGACCTCCCTTTGGGCAGCATGCTGTCCTTGGGAGTACCTCACTAGGGAATGTGTCTAACTCTTGACCCTTCTCCTTTAGCTTAGTTATGCTAACAGGACCAGCCCTCCTGCTGCTGAGATCCTGGCCCTTGCACCCCACCACACGGGAGGCCCACCACCAGCACGTTCTGCTCCCCTCCCCCACGGAAGCTGAGACAAGGGAATTATTTTTGGAACAAGAGCAGTTACACAACAAATGAATTATTTATCTTTGGGCTTGGAGAATGAGGCATTTTGCTGGGCTTCTTAATTCTCATCTGGATTTGGGGGTGCCCACTAAGATGTGTGGACATGTCTGTCCTGTACACAGATGTTAGGGGTGTATGTGTGTGTGTGCGTGCCTCCCATGTGAGCTTTGATTTTGTAGGTGTTGTGTAGGCCAGCAGTTGCCTGTGGACACCGTGTGCCGGGTGTGCCCTGGAGGGGGTCAGGGCACTCAGGCCCACCCGTTCCTTTCAGTTTCCCTTCTCTGCCTTGGTGCTCAGACTGTCCCCACCCCTACTGTAACTCTTCCTTGATTCTCTCTTCCCTGCCTTGACAACCCCAGCCCGCCCTTGCTTTGAGGAAGCAGGGGACCTGGGGCACTTGCTGGTGCGGAGTCCCTGGTTCTGAAGGATGATAAAAGAGGGACGGGAGCCTACACTGATCTGAACAAGAGAGGTTGGGCCCCCACACTGACCTGCCATTCTCTCTTGATGCCACCTTTCAGGACTTAGGTGACAGATGGGCTTCTTCCTCCCTGTCTCCACCTCGCTCACCGTCCCCCAGTGTTGCACTTCTGGCTCCTGTGGGAACTGCCTGAAGTTCTGACCCCTGAACCCAAAGAGGAGGAGGAGGAAGAGCAAGAAGAAGTCAAAGCCTGGGAACCTGCACTTCTGACAGTGACCTAGAGCCACAAAGCAACGCCTAGTGCCTGCTTGTAGCCCTTCACAACAGCAGGAGCCAGCTGTGTCCACCCTGCCCAGGGCTCCTGTGCTGGAGGTCACCCCCAAGATGGTGGTGGCTCCAGGGAGGACTGTGCTACCGGTCCCGCCCTCTGGCCGCTAGGTCCTTCTGTTCTCTGGCCCTTCACCCCAGCTGGGTCTATAAGGGGCTGAAGTGTGGGCCATGCTGCGCCTGGGGCTGTGCGCGGCGGCGCTGCTGTGCGTGTGCCAGCCGGGTGCTGTGCATGCTGACTGCTGGCTCATCGAGGGGGACAAGGGCTACGTGTGGCTGGCCATCTGCAGCCAGAACCAGCCGCCATATGAGACCATCCCCCAGCACATCAACAGCACTGTGCACGACCTGCGGCTCAACGAGAACAAGCTCAAGGCTGTGCTCTACTCCTCGCTCAATCGCTTCGGGAACCTCACGGACCTCAACCTCACCAAGAATGAGATCTCCTACATTGAGGATGGTGCCTTCTTGGGCCAGACGAGCCTGCAGGTCCTTCAGCTGGGCTACAACCGGCTCAGCAACCTGACTGAGGGCATGCTGCGTGGCATGAGCCGCCTGCAGTTCCTCTTTGTCCAGCACAACCTCATCGAGGTGGTGACGCCCACCGCCTTCTCCGAGTGCCCCAGCCTCATTAGCATCGATCTGTCCTCCAACCGCCTCAGCCGTCTTGATGGCGCCACCTTTGCCAGCCTTGCCAGCCTGATGGTGTGTGAGCTGGCCGGCAACCCCTTCAACTGTGAGTGTGACCTCTTCGGCTTCCTCGCCTGGCTTGTGGTCTTCAACAATGTCACCAAGAACTATGACCGCCTGCAGTGTGAGTCACCGAGGGAGTTTGCTGGTTACCCATTGCTTGTGCCCCGACCTTACCATAGCCTCAATGCCATAACTGTCCTGCAGGCCAAGTGCCGCAATGGCTCCCTGCTTGCCCGGCCTGTGAGTCACCCCACGCCCTACTCCACGGATGCCCAGAGGGAGCCCGATGAGAATTCAGGCTTCAATCCTGATGAGATTCTCTCAGTGGAGCCGCCAGCCTCGTCTACCACAGATGCGTCTGCTGGACCTGCCATCAAACTGCACCAAGTCACCTTCACCTCGGCCACCCTGGTTGTCATCATCCCGCATCCTTACAGCAAGATGTACGTACTGGTCCAGTACAACAACAGCTACTTCTCTGATGTCATGACGCTCAAGAACAAGAAAGAGATTGTGACGCTGGACAAGCTGCGGGCGCACACCGAGTACACCTTCTGTGTCACCTCGCTGCGTAACAGCCGCCGCTTCAACCACACCTGTCTGACCTTCACCACGCGGGACCCCGTGCCCGGGGACCTGGCCCCCAGCACCTCCACCACCACACATTACATCATGACGATCCTGGGCTGCCTCTTCGGCATGGTCATCGTGCTGGGGGCGGTCTACTACTGCCTGCGCAAGCGACGCATGCAGGAGGAGAAGCAGAAGTCTGTCAATGTCAAGAAGACTATCTTGGAGATGCGCTATGGTGCTGACGTGGATGCCGGCACCATTGTGCATGCGGCCCAGAAGCTGGGTGAGCCACCCGTGCTGCCTGTGGCCCGCATGTCCTCTATTCCCTCCATAATCGGGGAGAAGCTGCCCACTTCCAAAGGGCTGGAGGCCGGGCTAGAAACGCCCAAGGTAGCTACCAAAGGCAACTACATTGAGGTGCGCACGGGTGCTGCAGGGGACAGCCTGGCCCGGCCTGAGGAAGATCTCCCAGACATTGAAAATGGCCAGGGCTCAGCGGCTGAGATCTCCACCATTGCCAAGGAAGTGGACAAGGTCAACCAGATCATTAACAATTGTATCGATGCCCTCAAGCTTGACTCAGCCTCTTTCCTAGGGGGTGGCAGTGGTGGTGGGGACTCTGATCTGGCCTTCGAGTGCCAGTCCCTCCCTGCAGCTACTGCTGCCCCCTCAGCTGCCGCCCCTGGGGCTCTAGAGCGACCCAGCTTCCTGTCACCCCCTTTCAAGGAGAGTTCCCACCACCCGCTGCAGCGCCAGCTGAGCGCTGATGCCGCGGTATCCCGCAAGACCTGCAGCGTATCATCCAGTGGCTCCATCAAGAGTGCCAAGGTCTTCAGCCTGGACGTGCCGGACCATCCGAGTACCCCCGGGCTGACTAAGGCCGACTCCAAGTACATAGAAAAAGGCAGCCCACTCAACAGCCCGCTGGACCGGCTTCCACTGGTGCCCACGAGCAGCAGTGGTAGCAGTGGTGGGGGTGGTGGCATTCACCACCTGGAGGTAAAGCCAGCCTACCACTGCAGCGAGCACCGGCACAGCTTTCCTGCTCTCTACTACGAGGAGGGCAACGACAGCCTGAGCCAGCGCGTATCCTTCCTCAAGCCACTGACCCGTTCCAAGCGTGACTCCACCTATTCTCAGCTCTCCCCCAGACATTACTACTCAGGGTATTCCTCCAGCCCTGAGTATTCGTCTGAGAGCACACATAAGATCTGGGAGCGCTTCCGGCCCTACAAGAAGCACCACCGCGAGGAGGTGTACATGGCTGCTGGCCATGCCCTGCGCAAGAAGGTCCAGTTCGCCAAGGATGAGGACCTGCATGACATCCTTGATTACTGGAAGGGGGTCTCAGCCCAGCAGAAGCTGTGACCCTCTCCTCCCCCACCGGTGAGGTGAGGGGGAGGGCAGGGGCACTCGGGGGGATGGGCCCCGCCAGGGTGGCCGGGAGGCGGGGGACAGGCCAAAGGGTCCGGACCAAGGGGCCCGGGCCTAGGAGTGGACGTACACGCACACCCGCACGCACGCGCACACACACACATACACTTGACCACCACCTGACTGTGAAGCAACACCCAACAATAACGGGCAGGAAAACAAACATTTTCCTTAAAGTTTACAACCTGCTACCGAAACCAGTTGTCTCTACTGTGCTGCCCAAGGGACTCATGGGGCTGGGGAAAGAGACCAGAGAAGGTGTGGGGTCTGGGACTCAGGCGGGTTTGATGGAAAAAGAGATTGGGGTAGAAGCAAACCATAGCTAGCCCTCTTGTTCAAGGAGGGTATCCTCCAAGCTGGGGAACATTTCCCTTGAAGATCTGGCAGCATGTGGATGTTGGGCATCCTCTCCTCCCACTTTATGGATGGCCCAGAGAGGAAAAGCCCCAGGGGTCTCACCCACCAGGTTACAGCTTTGTCTCCCAGCTTCCTGGCCCAGTGCTGGCCCCGCCTCCAGCTGCTCCTCTGGGCCCCACCCCCTCCACCAACTACTCCTTCCAAAGCTGTGGTCTCAGGGGGCTAGGGACTGAGGTAGGCAGGTGCTTTTCTTCTCCAGAAAGTTCATGGGCACCCACAAAGTGAAAGACTATGGTCCCTAGCCCTAGATGGTCAGGGGAGAGGAATGTCCTGCTGACCAGAGAGAAGCCGAGGCAAAGGGTGCCACCAACCCCCTTCACGTGTCTTCCAAGTAGCCCCAGGGAGCTGCCTGGGGTTGGGGTGGTGGGCCGACCTGCTCCCCACTGGTATCTCAGGTGCAGGCCCCCATGCCACAGCCCCTTAGTTTCTCTGGGTCTCCCAGACCCCTATCCACTACAGAGAGGCAACAGTGAATGGCAAGGCCTGGGGCCAGTGTGGAGGCGATCTGGAATGTGGGGATTCCTCTCTGCACCCTGTACCCACACTTGCTTGGCCCCTGCTGTGTGCAGCATCTTGGCCTGCCTAGGAAGGCATCTGCCTCCACCCTACCCTGTCTCACTCCCTGGCTAGAGGGGCTCCCATGTTTCCATGGCAATGACCACAGTCCTTCTTCTGACCCACTCCCAACACCAATCAAAGCACAAACAGTGAGGTGCCCCCTACAGCCCTGGTCAGGGAGCAGGCCAGGTTCCTGGCCCCTCCCCTTCCCTAGCTAGTCTGTTGCCACGGCAACCCAGTGCCTGGCAGTTGGTGCCCAGAGGGACTAACTGACCAACCGTTGGGCTCTGAAGTTCTCTCAGTGTGGGTGGCAGCAGAGGGTGGTTAAGGAGGCCTGGCTAGGTGGCAGATCTCTCAAGAGCCAGCAGCTTCTAGGGATAAACTCTGGAGGTTCTTCTGGAGACCCGAGGCTAGCCTATGGCACCGCCTTTGCCTTTGAGTAGGCAGTGGGCCTATGGAGGATGGGGATAGTCGCACTAGGCAGTTCTGCCCCCTGCCCGTGTGCCTTTTGGCTTGCCATTGAGATAGGGAGGAACCTCCTTGGCTCTACCCCGAACCCTTCCAGAGACCCTCACTCCTGTCACTCTTTTGGGTTTCTTGAGATGAGAGAGTGTGACTGTGGAGTGTGTGTGGGGGGGAATGGGGGTGGCATCTCATTTGACCAGTGAGGGCTCTGACCAGGAAAGCTAGGGCTATCCTTGGGGGTGGGGTACAGGGAAGGACTGGGGTGGGAGACTTGACTGAATGCCTCTATTACATCGACTTTGGGGTGGGCCGAGCCCAGGGCTCACTCAGGGGTGACATTTGCAAAAAAGAAAAAAAAAAGAAAAAAAAAAAGACTGTTCTCCTGGGGAGAGGAGGAGATTGGCCAGCCTGGGTATGAAGAGCAGTGCTCCCCCAGCCACAAACCTGTCCTCACCCCACCCTACACCTATCACCCCAAGAAGAGCAGGCAGGCTGAGAGGCCAGGGGTGTGAGCGAGCAGACCCCTGTTATCTTTGCATGACGATTTTACTGTATTTTTCTGAGCAAACATCTGTCGTGTGTGCCAGTTTGTCCAGACTCCCCTCCCCATCCTTACTGCCCTCCATGTGATCCGAGCAGCTCTTGAAATCCAGGAAGGGCCAGCTCTGCAGAAGACCCAAAACAGGTGCCACCAACTTAGCCCTGCCTTCCCGCCCCCCCTGTCCCATATCCTTCTCCCATCTTTCTGGGCATTGGGCCCACAAGTGCTGCCTGCCTTCCTCCATCACCACCCCTTCCCATCTCTGCCCCACTCCGTCTCTGTTGGTCCTTTTCCTCCCTCTCCACCAGGGAAGGCAGTCTCGGAAGAGTGTCCCCCAAGGCCACGTTCTTGCGGAAGGGGCTACGGGAGGATCCTTGTCCACCTGTTCCCATTTGGAGATGAAGCTGGGGCCCTCTATAAAAAAGGCACCTTATCCGGCAGCTCAGCCAGCCACACAGGATGGGGAACTATCAGCCATACTGAATATGGGAGGTCAAGAGCTTGGGGCTTCCTGGAGGGGCCCTGCAAGAGGGGAATGGGCCTTGTCATGCCCAGGGAGGGTCCCCACTGGGGACTGGGCTCTGTTCCCACTATTCAACCATCATTCCTGGTTGAAGACAACTTATAAAACCTCAGATGCCACTTAGGAGGACTTTAAAGAGAGGGTCTATTCCAACAGTGGGGCCCAGGTCATAGGGATCTATGAGACAGAGCAAGGGTCCAAGGCAGAGGCACTTCCACCGGTCTGGCCCTCCAGCGGCCCTGGCCAGTCCTCCAGGGTAAGGCCCTTGGAGTTTCCCTCTGGCACAAAAGACAAATGCATACTTTCTCCCTGGGTCCAATTGAAGCCCCTGGCTTTGTAGTTCTAGGGGCACAGGGAAGGGAAACACAGGGGGTTCATGGAGTCATCTGGGAGACATGAGGGTTGGAAGTTACAACTGGGCTTCCCTGTCCTGGCAGAGAAGAACCTGTGAAGCCGCCTTTGTTAGAACATGTGGCTTCCAGAAATAAAAAGCTTAGTCTTCGCCGGATTCAGGGGAGCCTGTATCAGCTTGCCACTTCCTAGGCCCTCTGACTCTCTTCCCTCTTGAGCACAGAGCAGGAAGCTTTGGGGCAGCCTATGCAGGGCAGGAGGAAAACCCTGACCACCTTAGGAGGACTTGGGCTGCGCAGAGGAGGCAGCTAGTGATGGTGGTGGTCTGGGCTGGCCCCTGGGCCTCCATGTTCATGATGAGAAGTCACCTGTGCTGACAATCCAGAAACTTAAGGAGTTAAAGTGGGCAAAGGGAACTCCCTAGACAGGCCCAGAGGGGAACAGACAGGGACAGAAGCAACAGCCCTCCCAACCTCCCATTTCAAGAGGGGCTGAAACTGCGGGGGTGGGGGGAGATGCAGGCTCCCCAACAGTGCTAGGCCCCTGCAGAGAATGAAGGGAGGGATGGGGGAAGGCGGGGCAGGCGGTCTCCCATCCCTCCAAGGAGATAACAGAAACAGGAGGGAGAGGTATTGGACCTGCTGGCTGTCCCCAACCTCTTCTCTGGCCACTCTATCACTCTGCCCCAGCAGGTCCTGACATGGTTGGGGGCCTCTTCAGGGTGTGGGTGGGTGGGAAAAAGTATGGGACGTTATGGGGTGTCTAGCTACCTGTGGGGTGACCTTACCCCCTTGATGCTTGTCCCTCTTGACAAGGCTTGCTCTCTGGGACCCCCCCTCAGCCCCAGGAGAGGGTATCTTCTCCCAGTCTCCTTGCTCATGTCACACACGGACACCTTCCATGACTTTTACATCTACTTCTAAGAACCGATATCTCCCCCTACTTGCCCCAGTGCCCTCCCCCAGATGCCAACTGCCCCCTGCTGAACAGCAGGGAGACCAGAGGTTCCCACAGGGGTGTCCTCCTCCTCCTTCCCTCTTCAGCCAGGCAAGCACAGGGTTGCGGTAGAGGTCTGGGCGTTGACGGCCACCTCTCCTCCCTGCTTCCCACCCCCCCACCCTCCTCAGGAGCTGCCAGCCCCCGGAGGCACGGCGGCCTGGCACCTGGTTTGAGCTCTGCGGAGCTGGGCTCCGGGCCCTGGACTCTGAACCTGTGACCCCTCGCTGTGTACGGAACTTGCCTCCTCCTGGGGGCCTCGGACCCTCTCCTTGTCTTCTTTTAGGGGGTAACTTCATTTATTTTTCCTCCTTCCATTTGCCTCTCCCCCCAATTTTCCTGTTTTAAACTGAATGGCACGAAACCATTTTCCTCACCTTGGAGATTCCTGTATGGAGAGAATCAATTTCTATATTTGCAATAAATTTCTTATTTAAAACAACGGGGCCGAGGTTTGCACTGATTGCATCCACAGCGTCTCATGTCCTCTCTTCTCGGCTAACGGAACTGAGTGGGTAGTGCCATCATGGAGTGCCCAGCAGGGAATGTGGGATGGCCATGCATTCCCACCACCCCGCCCTGTCACAAGAACCTGGAAGTCACTCAGTACCCGTGACCTGGTGCCTTGTTTGTGGTTCTGGCCTCCCTCGTGCACATCCCTGGGGAGGCACACGGGCAGCAGAAGGAAAACCATCCCAGACAGTGATCACGGAGCCCAGTTTGTTCTAGGCCACGTTCCCTGCTCTTGGCAAGGTGGGATTCCTAGGCTGCCTCTAGACCTGGCCTGGGCACCCATCCCTGGACCCTGGTCACCCGCTGATCACTCCTCTTCCACGTTCTTTACCGTCAACCACTTTTTCCTAATAGCTGTGAACCATCCCTGCCTTGAAGAATCAAGACTTCCCTACGGGCTCCTGTAGTCTGGCAGAATGTGGGTTACCATGCTAGGTGGAGCCTCAGGCTTACCCTTTGGGGCCAGAGGACCCCCCACACTCAGCCCCTGCCTCCCAGAGGCTCTTCCCCTCCCTCAGGCTCCTCCTATTCCTCCAACTGCTTCAGACTCCCCCATCTCAAGTGTGCCCCATGTCCATTTGGGCTGGATTACTGAAGACCTTTTTAAAGTGGGTTCCCAGGACTGAGCTAGTCCCTGTGAGGGCGGTTGCATAGGAGTGTTGCTAGTGGCCATTGGAAGACAATCCAGAGTTGCCGCCTAGAGCCGGAGGCGTCTCTCAGAGACCAGGCCTCAGGGCAGCCCCAACTCATTGCTGCAGAAGAGAATCATGGTGTGTCCACACAAAGCAGAGCCTGAGTCTACTGAGGCTGTGGGGCCTGTGGATGTGGCTCAGTTGGTAGAGTGCTTGCCTAGCACACAAGAAGCCTGGGTTCCATCCCTAGCAGCAGGCGTGACAGCACATGCCTGTAATCCCAGCACTCCGTAGGTGGAGGCCTTGGCTATATGGGAAGTGCAAGGCCAGCCTGGGATAGACAAGATCTTGTAAAAGAAGAAGAAGGAGAAGGAGAAGGAGAAGGAGAAGGAGAAGGAGAAGGAGAAGGAGAAGGAGAAGGAGAAGAAGAAGAAGAAGAAGAAGAAGAAGAAGAAGAAGAAGAAGAAGAAGAAGAAGAAGAAGAAGAAGGTTTTAGTATACATTTAAGCAAGGACATTGAGGGAGAAAGAGTCCAGAAAAGAATAGTACATACATTCTGGGCTTCCAACGAGAGTCCCACTTAAAAATCTTAATAACCATGAATACAGTTTTGGTGTGTTGCGGAGTTACATTGTTCAAGGGGTTTCTAAGGACCTTTCTGCTCTTAGTAAATGAGGTCCTCTGGTGGTTTCTGAGGGACAGTGTATTGGATAACAGGCTGATATGGTGAAGCCATAGGTCATAAGGGTCAAGGGAACCCTTACTATGCTAGTTCACAAGAGAAGCTGAGACTCATGCTTCATAATGTTGCTTGTGTGAGTCTCAAGCCATTCTCATGGGAGAGGAGGGAGGGAGGCTTTAGGCCTTAAGCATGGCTTGTTGCTGTTTTGTGTCATTTCGTGTATGGTTATTTGCCTGCATCTATGTCTGTGCACCACGTGCATGCCTGTTCTGGTGGTTTTATTTGAGGTATATGTGACTGGAGCATCGTCTCTTTATGGACGATCTTCACAGTAAATTTTATTGCATCAAATTCCTCTCCCGGCTGGTGAGAGGCTCTACCTTTTGTCTTTTTGGTGTCCCTGTATCCAGCTCACCATTCTCTCAGGTCTATTCATGAGCAGGACCCCAAAGGCTCTCTCCTTCAGGAAAGGGTCTAGCATTTTACTCCTCCACAATGACTTTGTGGGTGACCTGCCATTTCACATTTTCTTCAAATTCTTCCCCATTATGGGGTCTGGCTCTCTCTTGGACCTTGTCTATATTGTTGGTAATCAAGCCCTGCCCCTTCCTTGCGGCTCCCAGCCTGCTCTTCTGCTCTTACAGGTAGCACCTGGTGCCTCACCAGTCCTTTGATCACAGGAAGGTGAGCCTAGGTCAGAATGAGGGAGGGTCTGGACTCCCTCCCATTCCTGCCTTTGTCTTTGCTAGTAGGCTGCCCTCTACCCTTCCAAGTCCTGGCTCATTCCCACTCATGCGTCCTTGGGTCTTGCATTTCAGAAGAGCCTCCCCCCCCTTTTTTAAACTGGCCTTGCTAACCCCTACACAATGCCTAAGGGACTCAGGCTTGTTCCTATGGTCTCCAGGAGAGGCCTGGGCCTCCTTCCTTAGGTCCAAGCGACAGCCTGGGTAGGACACCAGGG